CAGGGATGAAAATGAACATTTCAATGAAATAATCTCGACAGAGCAGGGAGAGGAGGGGTGGATGGACTGATTCATCTCCAGCTCTCTTTGGTGATCCGAACACTAATGAGAATGCTTGAATGTATAGTTTATCAGATAGAAGGGGAAGAGCAAGTAAATTTCTCAGATTAGAATCACTGTGAAAATATACCTGCATGCAAGCTGTTTCGTTCTCCAGTTGCCAATGTTGGCTAATAATTTGCAGCATTCATTTTAAGGGGATAGGGGAGAGAAGAGAAGAGAAAGAGGTGAAGAATCTTTTTGTTGGTTTTTAATGGGATGCCTTTAAGGGTTATCATTCAACCTGCTAGAAGCACGGAGGTTGTTCTTGTTACAGTACCTTATCTAGTTCTCAGACCCATTGCATTAGAATTAGAGGGTAGGCAGTTCTAGTATTTTGCCCCCATTTTGCTGCAATTAAAAATGAAAGACACAAACCACTGTAGTAAGGTTATTTGGTTGTCTGATAGTCTGTGCAGCTCCTCAGCCATTGTCATAACTAAGCCATATTTTTCCACTGTAGTGACATTGTAATACAGACACACACACAGATTTGTAGTATCTGTGCCAGAATTTTGTATGAACATTTGTATATACTAATGTAGAAAATTCTCAAATCTTCCAGCAGGCATGTTAACCTCTCACAATGTGAGATTTTGGATTCTTTTGTAAAACTCTCCTGACCCTGTATTCTGGAAACGTATCTGTAAATGTGGGTGGTTTTTTTGTTTTTTTTTTCCCCCTCTCCCTCTTGTTTTTCTGTAATGAGGGAGATGAGTGGCTGCAGATTGTCTTTTCTATCTGTACATTTTTTGGCCAAGATGTGAAATATGTTCCTGTGTGCAGTGGAAGTCAGCCCCAGCCTAGAGTGCAGTTTGTGCAAGGTGACAGTGTGGACTGTGAAAACTTCTGCAGCTGCTGTCTCCTGTTGGCTGGGTAAATATTAGAAGCTGTGGAAATCTATCTTTTGAAGAATGGTGAACATTCACATCGTGTCACTATTGTTTAGTCCTAGAATAGGCCCTGATTTAATGAAGAATTTTAGACTTAAACCCATCCCTATTTCTTGAAACTATTAAATAAGTATTTTAGTGAAAATTATTTCAGTATTCAATTGTTTTACTGAACTGTGGCCTTCAATACTTAGTTTCTTCTGAATAAATTTATTTATTTGGAGGATTTAAAATTGGGTCTTGAAGAGTTTACTACATTTAATTTTGTAGACTGTTAAAAACAAATACAATCATTACTTTTTGTCCTTTTCAAAATAATGTATTCAATTCTGAATCCCTTTTTGAATGGAAAAGAATACCTCCGTAGAGACAGATTCCTTCAAAAGCACCGGTCCGAGGTTACGGTAAGATTTCATAGGAGAATATTTACATTTGTAACCACATCCTTACATTTTGGATCTCTATCTCCTTTTTCAAACAATAGATGTGTATTTATAGTGTAAATATTCTCACTGAAGCAAACACAATGTGCTGCGCTACTCACATGTACAATATATAGCGTCTCATGTCCACTTAGATTAGAATACACAGCTTTTAACACTGCTCAAAGATGACAGTATATCTATGGGGAAGCATTGGCATCCAGAAGGCACATTTTATAAGCAGAAAATATTAGCAAGGCTTAAGAAGAAGAAAATAAATACAAACTGCTCCCACTAATTTTTAGTTGTCTGGAATTTGAAGCTTTTTCCCCTTTTTCCACCATGCATTTGCCTGTCTGTTCATGCCCAAATGAGAAGGAAAAGAAGAGATGGCATTATATTCTGTAATTTCTTCTGCTTTGGATAGTTCTTGCTGGGGAAGATCGCTGCTTATATCTGCTCGTGGTATTTTTGCATGGTTTCAGGACCAGCAGTGGCTTTGCAGATACAGGGATAGCTGAAGAAGATTTCTGAGAGTTTCTCAGTCACAGAAGGATATGCTGTCTGAAATCTGTCTGTCTGTTGATTTACCTGCTATAATTTAGGGGGAGAATATGAACATTTCACGCTTTTATTTGACATAGAATAATATTACTTGTCTCTGCAAGTAATTATAACAGGAATATTTTTGCTATGTTTAAAATTCTGAAGCTTACTTATTTGTCAGATTTCTGTGAGAATTTCAGTAAAACATATATGTTTTTAGAAATCAACGTTCTTCATTTTGTATGCTTCTGAATTAGCTCTAACAGAAACCTTTTCAGTTACAGGATTGCACTGACCTTGCAAAATACCATATGTTGAGTGAGCTGCTATTTATCTTACAAACATTAGTAGTCTTGAGTGAAAAGGTATTGTGTGTATCCTATGGTAACTAAAGGAGTTAAATAAAATCTTTTTGATTGCAGTGATAGAAATTAAACATTTTGGATAAAATACACTCTTTTTGGTTAAGAAGCATCATTTCTTTGTGTTATTTCAGATAACTGTACAGACGTGGGTGTGCACATCATGTAAATTCAGGGTTTTTTAGAATCTGGCTTAAGTTCTGAAATCATAGAAAATCAGAGTCCTGACCAATTGTACACTCTTATATTGCAGTATATATTGCTAAGGGGGTGAACTCAATCATGCAGTAGTCTCAGCAGAACTTAAGACTAGGAAAGTAAGTGAAAGATGGATATTTCACCCTAACACTCAGTTTCCTTGCTTTGACAGTTTAACACCGACCTTTCATGTAGTTTTAACATTTCTTGTGTGGTTTAGCTCCTTTTACTTTTATGGTAAAGTGCAAAAGTGTGAGAATAGAGAAAAGACACAGTCATAAATAAATAAAAATAAAAGGGCAGTGGCTCAACTAGATTTTCTACTTAAGCAGGTATATAGATGGTTATATATAGCAATTATAAAAATATATATCTATGCAATTTAGAATTAAGTAAAGAGATGTAAGCAGATAATTCACATGGATTCTTACAAAATGCTGTATCAACTATAGCAACATTCAGCATCTTACAACAGTTTCTTACATCTATTTATTAAAAATATTGAGACGTGAAAATTAGAGAAAATTGGCATAGTTCCACTGAGTAAGAAGATAGCTGTTCATTAAAGCTCAGAATGTGGGCCCCTTCAGTTTCAGCTTTTACTTGGTGACTGTCTGCTGATCATTACTAAGTTTTGGTGTGTTTTTTTAAATAAAAATGCCAGATGGTAACTGTCCATTTTTATGCATTTTAGGCCTCTTGAGTTTTTTTATTTTTTATTTAAAAGTAATTTGAGAATTGGAAACCATTCTGTAACTGTTCTTTACTTTTCTGAAATTTAAAAATGTATTGTCTTTTGTTGTTAGAAGTGACTGGAAGCAGGTGTGTTTAATGAGACAACTAAGGGATCTTAGACAGTAGCTGTGAGAATGAATTCTACTTACATACCTAAAGTTCAGAACAGCAGTGGTACTATGGTGCCTAAATACCTGCAGTGTTTCAAAAGCACATTACTGTAAGACTTGGAAGCTGACTGGCTTTTACTATTCTTTTACTATTTCTGTATTTTATTCTTCATTTTATGTATTAAATGCATTTTTAATAACATTTTTTTGTCTGTTTTTATAATACTTTTCTGGCATCTTCCTGGCCTTTGACTCCAGGGATGATTTCTGTAGTGACTACTATTGTGCTTGGTAATCACCAGTCCTTTTAAACATATTAGAAAACATCTGAGGCTGACCCATCTGTAAGGAATTGGGTTCTGCTTAACACTTTTTAAAAAAACAAAAGATCAAATTGTCTTCTGACATATTTTGATACTTAGAAGACAGATGAAAGATGCAGTGGGCATCTTAAGGCTCAGCATTACCCCAGTACTAGGTGGTCTTTATCTTAAAAGATCAGACTGAAGTAGTTAAGGGCTGCATTAAGACTGAATTGCAAAAGTGAATAGAGAATGTGGTGCTGGCCATAATACTGTTACTTTTTTTTTTTTTTTTAAAAAAAAAAAGGATGTTTCAAGAGTGTTCATATTAAAATGAGAGAAGATTCTTTTTCAGAAAATAAGTTTCGGAATATATTAGCAACTGTATACAAAAAGAAGCTCAATTTGTACTTATGATTCCCTCAACTGAAGAAGACCTCAGCTTTGTTAACATGATAATATGTATTTTCTTCATATCACATAGGAGCAGAAGAGCCTCTTTTTCTGGCTTCCTTTCGGTATTGTACCATGGAAGGCCATAGGCTGCATTTCAGCATCACTTGCTGCACAGTTTACTTGACAAGGAGGCATTTTTTTATTCAGTTACTGAAAATTGTTCACAAGCCATGTTTTCTACCTTGACATGCTTATAAATGATCTACATTCCATTATCATTGTGATTTTTTTTTTAAGCTTCTTTTACAAAACTGGAGGGAAATGTGTACGTTTTCTGCTTTGCAGTGAAAGTGTACATTTATCACTTAGGTACATGTAAGCCACTTCTGTGAATTGGGCCCTTGGAGTAAATGTGTTTTGATGTAATGGCCATCTGCTCATGAATATCACATTTGCTAGTTTAAAAAATAGTTTGATATAGATAAACACATAGTTTGGTAAGAATATATAGTTTCACCAGGCACCAATACAATAGCAAAGTTTTGTATTTACCATAAGCCAATAATCAAGGTAGGATGGAGGTCTCAAACTTTTTGTTTGTTGCTTTTAAAAAAATTAATCTCTAACATTTACTTTTAGTTTCTGACTGCTGTTTTCAAAATGGTAAATGCAGGACCCACATCAGGTCATAACAGGAGGCAAAAGTATATCCTAGCCATTTCAGAAAGCAGTCATAGTCTTGCTTTTCTTTTACCTTGTAAAAATGAAATCTGTTCTGCTCTCACATGGACCCAGTACAGCCAGCCTCCAGGACACTCTGGAACAGCTGACCTGATACTCTTGCCCCGTATAGCTCCATTAGAGTCAGGTGTTAGTGGCACAGAAATGTCTCTTGAAGCTGTAAAGCCAGTTTGCCCGAAAAGGCAGCACTGACAAAATGGAGTTGGTCAAGCCAGTAGGTCTGAGGGGTGCAGGTCAGTTGCAATGTGTTGCACGTATCTAGTGCAGTAAATATAGGTCAGTGCCAGGCTGTTCTTTGAGTTGACAAAACCTGGTTTACTAGGCTCTTTTGTCTGATTACGGTTTTGATATTGTGGTATCTACTGTGGTCCTGGCATATATTTTACTGCTGAAGTTAAAGTTTATTCTTAGGTAGCAGTGATATCAAACTGTAACCAGGACAGTGTATGTGGATTTATAGGTGGAGTGTGTGAGTGATGGTGAGTTTGGTTTCTGGATGTATCTTCAAAATTTGTCTTTATGGTTTCTGCTTTTAGTACAGCAATGATGTAAAATGTGTGTGTTCGATAACTTTGTCTTGGTTTTCCCCCCTGTCTCCCCTCCTGTATTTTAGCATATGTTCCTGAGGAGGAACTGAAAGCAGCAGAAATAGATGAAGACAGTGTGGAAGATGATGGGCTGTCTCTGGACATCCAGGAGAATGAGTATTTGTGCAATGAAGAAGCGGAGATCAAAGAGGCTCAAAGCTACCAGAACTCCCCAGTCAGCACTGCAACTAATCAGGATGCAGGCTATGGTTCGCCGTTTAGTGAAAACAGCGATCAGCTGGCCCATTTCAAAAGCACTTCCTCTAAAGAAGAGAAAGAGGATCCTCAGTGCACAGACAATGTTTCCTATCCACAGGACAGCTTGGCACAAATAAAAGCTGTGTATGCAAATTTGCTTTCAGAGACTTGCTGGTCCAGTTTAGCTTTGGACTTAAAGAAATCCAACCCAACCACCAGCAACAACGGAATCAGCCAGAATGAAAACACCACCAGTACTGACACCAATGCCAATTCCCAGAGTACTGGCACTACCAGTACCAACACTAATACCAGTACAACTACCAGTAGTACTAGTAACAGTAATAGTAACAGTGGTGGCTCAGGTTATGACTGGCACCAAGCTGCATTAGCTAAAACTTTGCAGCAGACCTCATCATATGGACTTCTCCCAGAGCCTAGTCTTTTCAGCACAGTACAGCTTTACCGGCAAAACAATAAACTTTATGGGTCTGTGTTCACCGGTGCTAGCAAGTTCCGATGCAAAGACTGCAGTGCAGCCTATGACACACTGGTGGAGCTAACAGTGCACATGAATGAAACTGGACATTACCGTGATGACAACAGAGATAAAGAAGCTGATAAGACCAAACGGTGGTCAAAGCCTAGAAAACGATCACTTATGGAAATGGAAGGCAAAGAGGATGCCCAAAAAGTGCTGAAGTGCATGTACTGTGGGCATTCGTTTGAATCTTTGCAAGACCTCAGCGTCCATATGATAAAAACAAAGCATTACCAGAAAGTGCCTCTGAAGGAGCCAGTACCAGCCATCACTAAATTGGTCCCTTCTACCAAAAAGCGAGCACTTCAGGACTTAGCTTCCCCTTGTTCACCTGAGCCAACGGGGATCACTGCAGAAGCTTCACTGGGTGAGTCTGCAAAGGATCAGAAAACTGCCAACCCCTATGTGACTCCAAACAACCGCTATGGCTATCAAAATGGTGCTAGCTACACTTGGCAGTTTGAGGCACGCAAAGCCCAAATACTGAAATGCATGGAATGTGGCAGTTCCCATGACACTTTGCAGCAGCTCACTGCTCACATGATGGTCACTGGTCATTTCTTGAAGGTGACCAATTCTGCTTCCAAAAAAGGCAAACAGCTAGTATTGGACCCTGTGGTGGAGGAGAAGATACAGTCTATACCTCTTCCACCCACCACCCACACAAGGCTACCAGCCTCCAACATTAAAAAGCAGCCCGATTCCCCAGCAGGCTCTACAAACTTGGAGGAAAAGAAAGACCTAGAGAAGGAAAAGGTGGTGGTCAGTGAAACAGAGAAAAAGATTAAAGAAGAGAATGAGGACTCTACGGAGAAATTTGAGCCAACAACTTTGTATCAGTACCTCAGAGAAGAGGACCTAGATGATAGTCCTAAAGGCGGAATAGACATATTGAAATCCTTGGAGAACACGGTGACAACAGCTATCAGCAAAGCTCAGAATGGAGCCCCTTCCTGGGGAGGATATCCCAGTATTCATGCGGCTTACCAGCTCCCGGGAACAGTCAAACCCCTTCAGCCCACGGTGCAGAGTGTTCAGATGCAGCCATCTTATGCGAGCAGTGTAAAATCACTGTCGTCGGAACACAACGCGCTCATCCATTCCCCAGGCAACCTCACACCCCCGCCTCACAAGAGCAATGTATCTGCTATGGAAGAACTAGTGGAGAAGGTTACAGGTAAAATCAACGTGAAGAAGGAAGAAAAACCTTTGGAGAAAGAGAAGAGTTCTCCAGTGAAACCCATGTCACCTGCTGCTAAAGAAAACAAGGACTTCCCAAAAGCAGAAGAAATAAATAACAAACAACAGCAGAAAAAGAGCTCTGAGACAGAAGTTCAGAAAGTAAAAAAGGATAGTCCAGCAGAAGCACATACACCAAATGGTACAGAGCCACTTAAAGCAAAGGTTGCAAATGGCTGTAACAATTTAGGAATCATCACAGATCATTCACCTGAGCCATCCTTCATTAATCCACTGAGCGCTTTACAGTCCATTATGAATACCCACTTAGGCAAAATTTCTAAGCCAGTAAGCCCCTCTCTGGACCCTTTGGCCATGCTGTACAAAATTAGCAACAGCATGTTGGACAAACCCATTTACCCAACCACTCCGGTCAAGCAGGCTGATGCTATTGACCGATATTACTATGAGAACAGTGATCAACCTATTGATTTAACCAAGTCCAAAAACAAACCTCTTGTTTCCAGTGTGGCTGACTCTGCCTCGTCCCCGCTAAGGGAGAGTGCCCTGTTGGATATTTCCGATATGGTGAAGAACCTCACAGGGCGTTTGACGCCCAAGTCTTCTACTCCATCAACCGTGTCAGAGAAGTCTGATGCTGACGGGAGCAGTTTTGAGGAAGCTCTGGATGAACTGTCGCCAGTACACAAGAGGAAGGGCAGACAGTCCAACTGGAACCCTCAGCATCTTCTGATCCTTCAAGCCCAGTTTGCTTCCAGCTTGAGGGAGACCCCAGAAGGCAAATATATTATGTCGGACCTAGGTCCACAAGAGCGGGTACACATCTCTAAGTTTACTGGTCTTTCCATGACCACAATTAGCCACTGGCTGGCCAATGTGAAGTATCAGTTAAGGAGGACAGGTGGAACTAAATTTTTAAAGAACTTGGACACAGGACATCCTGTTTTCTTTTGCAATGATTGTGCCTCTCAGTTCAGGACTGCTTCTACATACATAAGTCACTTAGAGACACACCTAGGGTTTAGTTTGAAGGATCTGTCAAAGTTGCCACTTAATCAGATTCAAGAACAGCAGAATGTTTCAAAAGTCCTCGCAAACAAGACTTTGGGCTCACTTGGAATTGCTGAGGAGGACTTAGGCTCCACATTCCAGTGTAAGCTCTGTAACCGAACTTTTGCAAGCAAGCATGCAGTCAAACTGCACCTTAGTAAAACACATGGCAAGTCCCCAGAGGACCATCTGATCTATGTAACTGAGTTAGAAAAACAATAGTGTCCAGGTAAGCAGCCAGGTATGCAAGTGACCACAGGAACATTGCACTAAACTTCTTCATAGTACTGCACTAGGCCTGACCTGAGCCTCTGAAATCAGTCTTACTTTTGTTGCTGAACTGCCTATCTGGACCTTGGTTTTTCTTACACTTATTTTGTAGTTATATTTATATGCTCTTTGTCTGATCTGTGCATGGTTATTTTTTGTTTCTGTTTTTATTTTTTGTGAGTCAAAGTCTGACCTTTATTTTCAACATCTGTCCTTGATGTTAAGCTATCTTTTGTAGAATATAGTGGGAGACACCATTGAGAGACATTAATTTAGCCGTAAAGAAAGACACAAAGAACAATGATAAAAAGACATCCTAAAATTACAAAGTTGCCATGACAATAAAGGTCACAGAACCTGGTAGTGTCAAGTTTTAACCCTCTGAGAACTGTAATAGCATTTCTGTGCCTTTCCCAGTGACTAAATAAGTAAATAAAGAAAAACAAAACAAAACAAAAGGCATTTAATTCAAATAAAAGCTGTGTCGGAAGCAGAACTTATTTTTTTTTAATGAATGAGCTTTTTTTTTTTTTTTTTTTTTTTTGCAATAAGAAGCATCGTTTA